GTGTACTATAATTTCAATAATTTTAAGATAGACTTATTTTTATTTTTAATGAGGCATTTTCTTTAATTAAAATTAAGCCAAAACATCACAAACCCTGGACTACCAAAGGTATTCGCATATCAGCCAAGAATATGCGATCACCTGCGTTCAGCCAAGAATTGTCACTGAATATGTCTTCAAGTACACAGGAACCTATCCAAAAATTATTAAAACAGCTAAAAAAATGTACAATCAAAATCGTCTGGTAAGCTCTAAAAATGTTGCAATAGAACTATCTTCGAAATAAAACTAAATCAGCGCAAACATTTTCTCTTCCAAACCCTGAAAATCTAAAGAATATTTTGCTAATGTGAGTAAAAATATAACATCAACTATTTTGCCACAACAAAATCCTCTTTCCTATCTCCCCAATTCAAAAAAGGTCTCGAATTCATTCTTTATAAGACCAGTTGATAAATCTTAACTGATCCAGACAATCAGTAGTATCAAAAAAGCAAATCTTCCTGTAGTACTGGTGGACTATCCATAAAAATTTTCTTACATCTCCCAAAAAATGTGTTGGAAGTCCTGGTCTCACTAATTAACGATTCCTTTGAAAAAGGTATATTTCCATATTTCCAGAGTGCCTAAAGACAGTCATTATTATTCCTCTTCATGAGGGTGGTGAAAAATCTAATATCTGCATCTATAGACCCATTCCCTTACTACCGGTCCTATCCAAAATTATTGAGCGACTATTGAGAACTAAAATCCTCACTTATGTCCTTTCTCGTTGATAACATCATTTTATCAGAAAGTCAGTTCGACTTTTTATTTAATAAATTTACCAGCGATGCTATGTTTTCTGTGCTACATGGGTCTATCCAGCACTCAACAATAATCTTTATACTCCATTGTTTTTTGTGATTGTGCCAAGGCTTTTGATTGTGTAAATCACGGCATTTGGATAAAAAACTAAATTTCTACGGAATTCGAGGTGTTTCTTTGAATTGGTTTCAATCTTACTTGAGGAATAGGAAACAACTCGTTCGAGCAAATGATACTGACTCTACACAAAAGTATTGTATGTGGAGTACCGCAAGGTTGAGTACTGGGTCCTCTACTTTTCCTTATCTTTATAAATGAAATGAGTAACTTAAAAATCGATGGAAATTTTTTTCTTTTTGCTGATGATGCCAGTATTACCTGGAGGAACTCTAATATTGCAACTCTTCATGCAATTATAACTTCTGATCTACTTAAAATAAAAACCTGGTCCGACTCTAATTTACTCTCTTTAAACGTGGAGCATTATCCTATAAAGGAGCTCTTCAACCCTTGCTTCTTAATAATAGCCAGATCAATCATGTTGATTCCGAAAAATTGCTTGGTATTTTTATAGACAGCAACCTGCTATGCAATAAGATCTGTTTCGAAGGAAATCAATTTAGCATCGTCCACAATAACATATTTTTCTTTGTTTGAGTCTCATCTTCGATATGGCCTTCCTTTTTGGGGTTCTACTACAGCTGTCCAATCTGATGTTATTTTTAAATTACAAAAAAGAGCAATACGATATCTTTTTGACCTTATTATTATTATTTGATATTATTGTAGATATTACTATTGTACCTTATTATTTGATATTATTGTAGAAGCTACTTTAAAAATCACGGGATCTTAACTCTTCCCTCTTTATATATTCTAGAAACGGTTTGCTTAATTCGTAAACACCTACATGTTTTTCCAGCAAGACCTAATCATGACTACTCCACCAGAAATTCAAGCTTTGATGTGTATTTATCGATCCCGTCCACTGAGTTAATAAAGAAATATTTATTATATTCGGCAAAAAAATTATACAATTATCTCCAACTTGACAAAAGCCTATCTTCCTGAAAGACCATATTTGGGTATCACATACAGCAACTTATTCGTAAACTAGTTCGTAAGGTTTTATTATGCAATTGTCAATTTAGTTAAATTTTGCAATGGATTGTATATTTGAATATCTTTTATTTTGTGATATTTACCATTTATGTAATTTTAGTAAATTTTAATTGTTATTGTTATTTTTGACTTTTTGTAAGCTTTGTCCATAAAATTGTACAATTTTCAGTGTCAATAAAGCATATTTCTGTTCTATCAAAAAGATCAAGTTTCAAACTATATTTAATGAGCAGTATGTAGGACAATCAGCATTCCTTGATTCTTGCTGATAAACTTATTATCCGGGATAAACTATATCATTTCACTCAGTTCATTTTTATTCGATTAGAATTAATTTGAAATTAAATGAATTGTTTTTTTTTTGTATTTTTATCATTGTTTTACGAAATTGATAAACAAAGAAAACTCAAATGTTCCTATAAATTCCATTAAAATTGTAGCAGTATACAAAAGTTTTTCACATTCGTTAAGAATGTCTAGGAATAAAAATGTGGCGGTGTAATTTTTATACCAAACTGGCAACTTCGGAATTAAATGTCGGGAAATTTAACTTAGGGGCTATGTAAATGGAAAATAGAGTTTCTAAATGTATCTGTGAGACCATTTTCATAATTGCAGAAACTTTCCAGACTATTAAATAAATTTTCCGTTAAAAATTCAAATTGAAGAATTTTTGCAGTTAGCGGAATTTATCAGGGCCTTTATGGTCATCATTTCATTGTTTATCAGACCAATAAATTGCGATTTTTAATAGAAAAAATCACAAAATGGGAAGAGTTTTGAATAATCCTTATCATACTGTATAATTTTGTAATCTACATAAAAAGCTCTAAGAAAACCACGAAGTTCATTGTCTATAAGATAAAAGAAACGACCCAACACTCAAATCTCACAAAATTGGTTGTTTGTTTTTCTAATAGTGATATATTTAGTTTCCTCTTTGACGGTCGCCTATAAGATCGCGAAATGTTCTTTTCTTTGTACTAGGAAGTAGTTGTAATTTATTGCCAGTTTGCTCTAAATAAAAAGTTATTTAGGAAAAGAGGGAAAATTGATATTTTTTCATACTAACTAGTCCATAAAGTGGAACGTAAAAAGTTTGAACGGGAGATGCCCTAATTGCGTAAGAGTTTAGAAACAAAAAATTTGACAAATGATGTTTCAATTGCAAATTATTTCAGTGAATTATAAGTGAATTTGAGAAGATTATTGCTATGTCATAAACTGATGGTTAACATTTTTAGTGGCAATATTTTTTTATTTATCAGTCAGTCGTCAGTTAGTCAAGCAATGCTGTCGATTAAGGAGTAACTGAAGTCTACAAAATTCGCATTTGCTCTTTATTAAATTTTATGTTTATATGAGAATAAACCACAATTACATTTTACCTTAAAAATTTCCGGAAATCGTTCTCAAAAGAAGTTAATAAATAATTTAGTTGAAAAACGGTGTACATGACCATAGACATATAATACAAATAGGCTGACTCTTGAAATGCGGGCCCGTTTCCCCAGTGCGACAGAGAAAATGGACGCAAAGCAGTCCCTGCATCTCTTTCTAATTAGTTGGGTTTATCAACCACGTAATCTAAATGGCAAGCAAAAAGATAAGATAAGGTAAAGATAGGAAGCAGAACATCGATGCCATTTGGTATAAATTTAGGACTTGGGCAGGGGGACCTCTTGTCACCGTTGCTGTTCAATTTTTCTTTGGAATATGTACTTAATAAGTAAAATATCGTCTGAGCTGATAGGAGGATTTGCTGATCAAGGATCAAAACTGTTGCTAGCCTTTTCAACCTGAAGAAACAGGTAGTCTGGGTCTTCGAGTAAATGAAGAAAAGACGAAATACATGGTAGTAACCAAAAATCCAAGACCAAGAGTTAGTCAGAACATCATATTAATGAGCACAACTTCGAAGTGGTGAAGGAGCGATAATCACAGCTGACAACCACATAGAAAAACAGGTCTCAGCAAGGATAGCTGCGGGAAATAGAGCATTATACTCCCTTTCAACATTATTAAGATCGAAGCTGCTAAAAAGAAAATCTAAATTAACACTGTACAAGTCGATTATTCACCCAATTATTTCATATATGGCGGTGAAACATGGACTCTCAACCAGCGGGAAATCAATAAGCTTCTAGTATTTGAAAGAAAGGAAAATGGATTTTCTGCAAGGAAAAATAGCAGGCAAACGCAGTCCATAACGAAGAAGACCCTCATGGTTGAAGAACTTGCGAGATTGGTATGGTGTTGATACAAGCATTCTATTTAGGGTGGCAGTGAATAAATTAAGATAGTTATGATGGTAAACAACGTTATGAAAGGACATGGTACATGAAGAAGAAGTTTTCAGAATAATATTTGGCCCTCAAAGAGATGAATTCACAGGGGATCGGAGAAGACGTCGCAATGCTGAATTGGTGACTCTTTATGGAACTGAAAACTTAGTTAGACATATCAGGGCAAACCGAATAAGATGGGCAGGTGTTTTGAAAGACCAGATAGTAGAAGATCAGTAGGCCGACCGAGAAAAAGATGGAAGGATGATGTTGAAAAACGCAAAGCGCAAGATCGTAGAGGCTGGAGGGCGATAATGGATGCGGCGAAGACTCACCTCCGAGTTGTAAAGCCAGTGAAGAAGAAGAAGAATCTAAATGGTCGATAAACCCATTTAGTCTTTTACATCTGTCATCTCTTTTTTAATTTCTAGTTCATATTTTTCACAAAAATTGCTTGTCTTGTTTAGTAGTTGTTGTTCAGCAGAGCTTGCCATAATCACGGTGTCATCTGCATATCTTATAATTATCTTACTTTTATAGTTGTGCAGAGTGGGATTCTCTAGCCGGTTATAAAATTAAATTTTTAGAAGAATTGTTTATCAAACAACAAAAATAAAATTTGTTTACGTTATTAATGTTTTGTAGTTTCTGAACGATTTCCAAAGTGGAAATCGAAACGATAAATAAACTTAATTTTACAGTAAAATTGTGGCTTATTCCCAACAAAAATAGTAAAAAACCCAAGAAATGACCAGATATATTGTCTAACGTCATTCTTTGTTCTAGAATCTAAATAAAAATGGCAACAGAAGTAAGTGCAGCTCCAGTTACACAATCCCACCCAACCTGTTTGGAGTCTGTCAACAGATTTTCAAAGCTTCCAGTTGTTGATTCCACCATCAAGACAGCTACAAGTCTATACGAGAAAGTAAAGGTGAGTAAAAACATAATTTAGTATAATTAGAAAAATTTAAAGGAAAACATCCTTTACAAATAAAAAAAATTGTCAAGAGTACTTGATACAGCTCAGGTTAAGCTGTATTTTTATCATGTATCTTACTTCTAGCGGTATGATTTCTTAACCTTTTTCTAACTGCCGTAGTTCCATATCATTTAGCCTATGATATTTAAAGTGCTCTATAGTGCAGGAGCTTTAAATGTTTAGAAGCTTCATAGTATGGTATAATTAGACTCAAACCCTGACATCCAAAGTGAAAGTTATTCTACAACACCAAATTGTTCTATATGATCTACATATAGTTCAGTAAAAAGTTAGACTATTGCGAGCATCGTTTTTGAGGTAGTGGGAAGAGAAATCGGTAAATTTCTCCTCTTCTACATCTTCGTCTATGATAGTTGTGTCCCTATTATCACATCCTAGGCCTGAGCAATTGCTGCATGTGCTTGAGCAGTTTAGACCACTCTTTCTATACTCACAGTTACGGATGCATTCGTCTTTGCAAGTACACACTATGAGGGAAAGCAATTGCTAGAAAGCTGCAGCACGTACTCTTGTAATTGGTGTCAGGTGTTCGTTAACATTCTTCCAACCCCACTCAAGCGGAGTTCTTTTCTCATTCAGCCACTGCTGTACCTGGTGGTACGTTGTGAACGAATTCTGGCTGAAAGCTCCAAAAGCGGGGGTAGTACAGACCAAAGAATGTATAGGCTGCTTTGCTATAGCCTTCAGGTAAGACTGATATCGAAAATAATCTAGATCTTCCATTTTCCTGGCACCACACATTGCAAGAAGGAAATGCTTTCTGGTGTCAGCTACTGCACTGGAGTCAGCTTTGGCTTACACTTTCCTAGATAGTGCGATTTTTCCCTTCTTGTAGATAGCTGACATCGTGTCACATCCTGTAAAGGCATATATTGCATGGAGTACATCCTTCATATTTACAATGACTCACTCAATATGAGAAACAGTGTAGACTTTTTGCTGCTGATTGCCTTTCTTTGGTACCACTATTTTTAATTTCTTCTCTGATGGTGCGTGAACAGTCAACAAAACTAGTAGGTCCATCTCATCACCAACAACACAAGATTCAATGTCTGTCTTTGCTTCAGTGGCTGTTAAAACGATTAATAAGTCAGCGTCACCCGATGCTTTATCAACTGTGCAACCACATATTTGCAAGTGTACTACAAGAAGTGAAATAAGGCCCATTTTGTTGTTTGCGTTAGCTAAAAATTCTCTTTGGTTTATATTTACATGAATTGAGTCTTCAATTTTTACCACAATCCTAGAACGTGCTCGAACTGTGTAGGTGTTCTTCATCTTTTGTATTTTCTTGCTGGTCTCCATAAAATACAACAGTCGCTGTTCCATAATGAGTAATTACCTAGTCTCTGTATTGCTCGAAAATCTGTTTGAAGGTAGCTGGGCGACAACATGATGAAGGAAGGCTCCATCAATGATGTATGACATTTTTCCTGAATCTAGAGTAAAAGATGATGTCTAGAACCTAAACAGTAATCATTGAAGAATTTCATCCTTTTTTCATCAAGCCAGATTCGTGAAACAAAGATCGAGAATACGCGCATACGAGGATACGTTCATATTAAAATATTTCTTTATCTCATCACTCCTTAATGTGCACACCATCTGATGTAAGACTGTTTGGGCTTTCTGGGGACTTTATTTTCAAGTGTATCTCACTGAATGTTTTATTTTCAATGTCTTTAAAAGCCACGATTCTGACTTCTGACTTTGTAAGGTGTAGAAATTGTGTATAGAACATTGTTTACGCTAAACCTTATAGTTTTAGAAATATTCACGAAGGATTTAAAAAACTGCTAATTTTCCGACTTCTAACCTGCCCGCCCCACCCACCTCCCAAACTCGACGCTCCAAATGGTGTAACTTTTTACTGAATAGTATATGAACAATACAGAACAATTGGGTGTTGAAGGAAAACTTTTACTTTTGATGTCGGGGTTAGTCCTTTTTTTGGACCAGTTGTACCAAACGATCAAGTGTTGTCTCTGTCGTTGAATAATAAATGATGTTATTTTTTTATGTGATGGTTCTATCTTGTTGTTTTTGAGTGTTATGTATACCCTGTCTAGAAACCAATAGTTTCATTTATTTGCACTTCTCTTTCATCGAGACCTTTCTTTAAGTCTTTATTTTTCTCTTCATTGCTCTGTCTATACTCTCAAAGATGTCATAATTGTTTTTCGCTTTTTTCGTGTCTTCATTAACTCGTAACATTTTAGACCTCATCAACCCCTATACAATTTAAATCTGGATCTTAAGAAACGATATTAATATTTCTCAATATGTCTTCTTTAAAGATTTAATGTATTAATTTTTGTAGGACTTGAACGGTCTCACCCACTGGACCTTCTCAACAGCAGAAACCACCCTCTGCAAAGCCGTCGACTTGGGAATGCCTATTGCCACTCCAGTCATCAAGAACTTCGAAGGACCCATTAAGAAAGTCGACAATGTTCTTTGCTCAGGTTTGGATTATGTAGAAGAAAAAATTCCTGCTGTAAAACTTCCCACCAACGAGGTAAGTGTGTTGTATATAACAGTTAAACTCCCTTGCCATATGTTTTATATTATAGTACATTATCGCGACAATATTAAATGTAAACAAAGGGTATTATTATACCAAATGGATTACTAGATATTAAAATATTAAAGAACAAAAAGATTGATATATCACTTATAAGACAACTTCTTAAAATTCAATCTTCGTTAGCAGAATTACTACTTTAAAATTCTGACGACGATGAATTCACGAATAAGACAACTTATATAAATGATTCTGTTTTTACAATAATTGTTAATTTGGTGTGTGAATATTATTTAAGTTGTTCAAATGGCATAATGATATTTACTTGACTTTACTTGTTTTCTTGATTAGATTTTGTATGGTAAGGGATGTTTTATGTAAATAATATTATTTTTGTGTAGATTAGGTTTTAGAACAGTTCATATCGCTTCACCATTTGCATATTTCATTCTAAATGTACCTGTTTGTCAATTAAAATAAGGTTGTGGTTTAACAAAATAATATAAAAAATAAGCTATACTGCAGTTAGTTTGTTTTGTGACTCCTGTGTAACATTCTCATTTTCTGCTGCTTTGCGGACTTTAAGAAAGTATTCAACTCGTATTAAACTTATTAAGACTAAAGCTATACCATGGACAAAATAGTAAAAGCACAAAGAGCGATGGAAAGATCCATGTTCGGGGTGAGTATTCTAGACAAAAAAACAAACAAATGGATTAGAACCAAAACGAAAGTAAAAAAGACGCAGGAGAACATGCTGCCAAATTAAAATGGAGCTTCGCAGGACACAATGTCCAACTGAAGGATAAGAGATAGAACCACGAAATATAACAATGGAGACCATGGTTAGGAAAGAGAAGTAATGGAAGACCTCAAATGAGATGGGATCGGAGTACACAATTGGAAGCAAGTGGCGCAAAATAGAAGACACTGGATGGATTTGGGGGAGTCCTATGTCCAAAGTTGGATTACAAGGCTGAAGAAGAAGACTAACGGAGTATATTAATAATTTTACTTAGTAGCGATCGATACTCTGTTGAGCAACCATGCTTACTTTATAAGGGAAAAAGCAAACTAAAATTGAAAATGCTGGACGAAATAAGATCTCCACGTCCATACATATCACCTTAAGCGATAACTAACTATTTTGGTAATGTAATTTGTAATGCATATATTCGAAACTCGGTAAAAGTAGTCAAAACATATATTCTGGTGCTGATGTCCATTCGGATCATACCCACTTAGTCAGTGATTGGAACTAAGAATCAAGAAACTTACAAAGCAACCCAATAGTAGATGAATAGGTGGACAGTATATTAACAATACCGTGAAAATAAGATTGGTTCTTCAAATGTTACATCTTCTGGATACTATTGTAGAGAGTTGAAAGTGGACCCCTCACAAAATCACTAATACAAGCTTTCGAAATGAAAGTACATCAAAAGGTGCTATGCAAAATACTGGGTTGACAGTACAAGTACCAAAATTGGAGTATTTTGCTCCTTGTTGTGCGACACCCAGAACGATCTGATCTCCATCTTATTATTCAGGGCAAAATAGAGGGAAAAAGCGGTCTCGGTCAAACAACACAATGGATTCGTAACCTACATGAGTGGATCGGTCTTGGTTACCCATTCGTAGAGCTGGGGTGAATAAATTTATAATACCTAATATGATAACCAAACCTATTGAAGCTGGCAATTAAATAAGACAGGGAGATTCCCTGAGTCCCCTCTTGTTTAACCTGATTATGGATGCAATAATAAAAAAAGTCAGAACTAAACAAGAATACCAAATGGGAGAAAAACAACTTAAAATAATCTGAGATGCAGACGACACAATAGTACTCTTTTAACCGCCAAAAAATTTAACATGTTAATTTCCCCAAAAAAGACAAAATTCATGGTTACAACAGCAAATTTACTAAGATGTAAATTGGAGCTGGAAGGTCGGGTATTAGAACAAGTGATGGAGTTTAAATATCTAGGTATCACATTACCTAGCTATAGAAAGCTTGAAATGGAAGAGGAAGATCAAGTTAATAGAGCAAACAGAGCAAACAGTATGGAGAGAAACATTGATGATAAGACACTATGGGACAGAGCTAGAAGTACAGATTTACGACGTAGATGCAAGGTGGAGAACATCAAGAACTGGGTACGAAATAGAAGAGTAGAATGACAACAAATAGACTAGTAAAGATTACAAGAGACGGTTTCCCAATAGGAAGACGATCGGTAGGAAGACCACGAAAACGATGGAACGGCAACTTACTAGATGCACATTAAAAACAGACAGCCATGTCTACATAAAAAGAAAAGAAGAAGAAAAGAATATGATAACCAACCTTCAGTAATGGAGATGGTCCGGAGAGAAAAAGAAGTCATGTTATATAAGCAAATTTAGCAATACTTTGTAATATATACCTAAAAAATTTTTTAACACCATATAGAAAGTACAGGATACATTGGGAAAGACTAGTAGACTTGAATCTGTACATTTCTTATTTACTTAGTGATACTTATCTTATTTAATTCATATTTACACAACAACGAAACCTACTGCAGTATCTTATTAACAAAACTTTTCTCTTCTTAATACTGTTCTACTGTCCTGTCCTCATCTCTTCTTGCACTCATCTATCACCGTAATCTAACGCTATCCCCTTATGTAGATCGCTTTACAGATTTACAACACCACCAAAGACTACGTCAACAACACGATAACACCCGCTGTTGAAACTGCCAAAGCCTACGCAGAGCCAGCTGTCAAGACCGCCAAAGATCTCGTGGAGCCTGCTTATGAAATGGCCAAGTCAGCAGTTGAACCAACCCTGGAAAGGGCCAGACATATTGTAGAACCAATTGTACAGCCCGCTTTGGACAAAGCTAATGCCATCAAAGAGAATGTTATGCAGAGGGTTGATGAGTATTTGCACCTCTCCCACCATGAAGGTAAGTTAACTTTTGTATGCTTAGTAATCTATATTATACAGATATTGCAGAATATGCAAATCCACCACGATTTGCACATTTTTAGTTCTCAAAACTGTTTGAGTTTAGAAACGTCCAAAAAAGTAATTAGTCTCTTACCGCAGTCATAACTAATCTTTAGATAGTAGTCTTTTAAAATAAACTACCCTTTCTGTCAGCCCGTTTGACCGAGGGTAATGTACATTGGAGGTGCAAAATTTAAAATTCCACTATTGTGCAAAATTCCTACTAGTGAATCATATGACATATTATCTGAAACTATCTCCAATGGGATTCCAAACCGTAAAAATATTGATTTTAAAAATTTGTAAACAATTTTGAAAAGTAGTCTACCAAAACAAAATAAGACCACCAAACCACCATAATCTAAAAAGGGTACACCGTAATCACTAGCCATTGCTTGGAAAGGAAGGTCAGGAAAATCTCTTAAATTCAATCTATCTATCTATCTAATTAGCCTTCTTCGCTCCATCTTTGGACATAGGCCTCCCCAATCCTCTTCCATTCTTCTCTGTCTGTCGCTACAGTCATCCACCTAGAGCCCACGTTCTTCTTGATATCATCTGCCCATCTCATTTGGGGTCTTCTTCTACTTCGTTTATATTCCCACGGTCTCCAACTTATAAGAATTTTGTTCCATCGGTCTTCTTTTTGTCTTATATTGTGTCCGGCAAATCTCTATTTGAATTTTGCAACTTCGTGTCTAACATCCCTCACTTTTGTTTTCTCTCTTATCCACTCGTTTCTCTTTTTATCAATAAAATTTAATAGTTCCTTGATATTATTGTTGCTAAATTTTTCAGTCAAATAAAGTTTTACATTCCTTAATAAAATTTTCAATATCAGCATTAATTTGAGGCCAATATTCAGTTTTAGTAATTCCAAAATAATTCTCATGCAACAGTGAGAGCATCTCTTTGCATAATGCATTCGGTACAATTACTATATAAACATATGTGTGTCATGTCTAATTAAATAATAACTTTTAAGTGATTCCGGAACTTTACGACTATCTGTGGGCAATCCCATCAAGCAATAGTTTGTCAATATTTGTAATAAAATATTCTTTAATATCTCTTCAATGAAAACTTATTTTCTACTGACTGCTCCATGTTGCTGATTTTTATATTTTCGTTAACCCTTTTATTTAAGAACTTTTACATGGTACAGTAATAACACGAAGTGTCATTCGTAATTTAACATCTAACGTAAAACCTACAACTAATATAACATCTAACACAATTTGTTCTTTGTTCTTTCAGGTGAAGTAGTCGAATGTCAAGAATGCGTTCAAATCAGGAAAAGATTAGAGCAGCAACAACAGCAGGACAACCAAAACGAACAGCAACAACAAGATCAACAACCCGAGGGTCAACAATAACGCGCGTTTTCTGTTAGTTTATAGTGTTTTCTATGTTTAACGTCCCAATTGTATTTTAAGACTGTTTTTAGATTTTAATCTTAGGGTGGCTTCCAGAACATTAGTCTGAATATGTGCCTTTTCGAAAAATTGTCCAGAATTAGAAAGATTTAAAAATATTAGGTGTTTTCACAAAGAAATACTTTATTATTTATTAATACGTTTATTACTTTTGTAATTTTCCTTCTTTCAAAATTCAGTATTCAAATAAGAGTTTTCTTTAATTTGAATACTGGAAAGATGGTAAAGTTATTGTTATTTTCCACGTCAATATCTACATAATTAGTTAATGTTATATATCTAGCAGGAAAACCTTAAGTGTTTGATGGTTATCTAGAGTCTGAACGAAGTAAATCGATACACAAGTGCCTATAGTACATTAGGATGTCACCCTTAATAGTTTACAATATTTATAAATGTATATTTTATACTAATATAGGATTACGTCGAGGATGAAAATATCACTGAATATTTACGTTTTTATTTAAATATATGTTCCAAATTTATATAACGCTTTTTATTTTGCCCCAACTTCATCTGTGTGATATCCCAAACTTACTCAAAACTCACTAACACTAAAATATAAGTCACACAACTTCCAAATATCTGAAACAAAATATATAATAAGGTAGTTGTAGAATGTGCCATATTAAACTTTAAATTTGTACTCACTCTTAACATTAATGGAGGGCTCAAATCGAATATCACTGCATTTTTGTTGTGTGTGTACGTTAACAAGTCAGTAGAAATGGATACAATCTAAAAAAATTTAGGGTCAAAATCATTATTTAGTACTGATTCTATCAATTTTTTGACATTGTACTTCCTCTTGCCATTTCTATTACTTCGTCACATCTACGCTTACCCTTTTATTTGTAATAATAATAGATTGTTGTTAATCAGTTTGTTAGTCTGAAAAATATCTCACATCTGTCACATCACTGCTAAATTCATTTGCTTTCAGAATTTTTTAAGTTTTATATGGATAAAAAAGGGCAAAACTGACCGACAAGGGCATAAACATAAACGGAGAAAAGCTTAGCCATCTAAGGTTTGCAGATGATATTGTACTAATAGCTGGTAGGATAGATGAGGCCAAAGAACTTTTAAATCGGCTCTACCTTTCCTCGCTAGAAGGGGGATTGGAAATAAATATATCTAAAATCCAGATGATGACAAATCTTGTAGTCAGCGAAGATATATGCGTAGGAACAAGATCCATAGACCAGGTAATGGCCTATAAATACCTAGGTCATGAGATCCGCATAGAAAAAGATAATCAAACCGTTGAGCTTCTCCGTCGTATAAGACTGACTTGGGCAGCCTTCGGCAAGCTGAACCATATTTTCAAATCGTCTGATATACCAATATGCCTTAAAAGAAAAACCTTAAATCAGTGTGTTTTGCCAGTGTTGACTTAAGGTGCGGAAACGTTGACCATGACAAGGAGAACAGTTCAAAAGATCCGTGTGTCAAAGGGCGATGGAGCGTGAATTGTTGTGCGTTTCACTACGGGACAAGATCCCAAATCACCAGCTACGACAAAGAACAGGAGTGTATGATGCAGTAGAGAGAGTAGCAACACTGAAATGGAACTGGAAAATGGAGACCAAGAGATGATGCCTACCGAAGCAGAGGTCCTCCACCAACACGTTGGACTAACGATCTAAAACGTTGTCATAGGAATTGGATGCAAGAGGCACAAGATCGAAATATATGGAAAATTATGACGAAGATCTATGTCATGCAGTGGATAAGCGAAGATTGAATGATGATGATGATGATGGATAAATATATCAATCACTATTTTAGATCTCTTTTTATATATATAATCTATAAAAAATACATCGTCAGCTTAATCCACATGATGGATGTCCGTTTATTCTAATGGTTTATTTCTGCCAGTGTAGTTTTGTGGAGACGTCCTCCATTGTCAGTTAAAATTCTTTTGTGATTTTATTTGGCCCGAATGATTGTTTGCTATTTTCATTTTTCATTCAATGAACCGGTTTCTTCACAAGTCTTTTTGGCCTGCTAGGCTTTACGCACTCAAAGTCCGATACACACAGAATCACCAACCTTAAGAGGATCTAAATCCTTGGTATTGTGTCGCTTATTGTAGTTTTTCACTTGTTTATGCTTTATTTCGTTCTTTTTATTTTCAGTGTTTGGTTCTTTTGAAAAGTTTAATAAGCTTGGAAGCTGGGGCAAGTTAGATCTTAATTTTCTATTCATTAATAATTCAGGAGGTGAAACACCACATTCTAGGGGTGTACATCTGTATGCTATCATTTCTTATTGAACTCTCATTAGAACTTTTCTTAGGGTCTTACTTTTAGAGATATTAAAACTTTTTCTTGCAGCATCGCTCATGCTCACTCACTGGATCTTTTTTGGAGCTTCATCCCGCTTTTTGTTTGTGTTTCTAGCCCGATTTTTTTCTCAAGAAAAGATAGGAAATATATGGCCACTTCTTACTGTTATTCTGAAGCTTTTTCCATTGCAAGATCAAAAAATTAAATTGTCAGTATTTTTGAGGTGCATTCCTGGGTTGACTTTATTGGAGAATCGATCATTCGATTATATGAAGTCAATATAAACTTAAGAATGCCCAAAAAATGATGAGCTTGTGATTTATCTTTAAAAAGGTAACTAAATTCAATCCTGATAGTAAAATTATCTTGTTGGTATTTCCATTGTAAATGATGAGAAAAGACTAGGTTAGAGAAACTTTTTTCCTTGTTTTACAACCTTAGTCACCGGTTTGCTCTCATAAGCATTGTCTTGTTTTTTGCGTTTCGTCTCTGCATTTTTATCGTGATATTTGTATATCAGTATATACGTGTAATTGGTCTAATCAGTTTAATTGGATATCCTCAATTTTCTCAATAATTTCAAAAAGTTTGTGCCTATCAAACTCGCTAAAAGTTTCTTCAAAAGCTATGAATGCAATGCGTTTTTAAGTTAAATTATTTGTTTTTTTTTTGTATCTTCTTATATTGATAGTTCCTTTTATAATATTTTTAATCTATTGTTAATAATTTTGTAGGGTCTTTTGTATATTACCGTAGGTGTTTTTAAATGTGATTATGTCAATCCCTTTTTGCTAATATTTCGTAGCACAGCGCACATTGTAGTTGTAAAATCGTTTAAGAATTTTAAATTACGTTGGAGAAAAACTGTACCAACATCGTTTTGAAGGTCCAGGTTTAGTTTGGTTCAAAAATTTCCTCTATATACTTTTGTTTGAGTTGTAACCAATGACCAGTGTAGAAAAATACATCTGAAAAACTTATTGGACCAAAGACAAATCATAAATAAACTATGAGCTAGATTAGCTGATGTCATTCAGAGAACAAAAATCAGTATTTGCTTCTCACAATTACTACAATACGACAAACTACAACCTAGTAACAATTACACGACAATCTGCTTATCTGGGCTCATCATCAGTTGTATTACAACTACGTCTTACATTACCTTAGTCTGTTTCAGTTATTCCTACCCATTGACAGCCGTTACGTTTGTCGCACTCATCTTCTACTTCTCTCGGGCATTGATAATAGGCTTTGTCTGGGAATGTAGTTTCATTTGCTCTTGACAGGTATCCTGCCCATCTTAGCATACCTTTTTTATGAATATTACCCCTGCCATCTAATATTCCTTTATATTTTCCAAAATCTGCTTTCGCAAATTACACCAAATATTCTACTGAGAATCTTTCATTTGAAGATGAATTTTCAGCTGCTTTAGAAATAGCTGTTACTCTGTCAATAGGAACTTCTTAACTTTGACAGTTCTTATAGCTCATATTGTTAAAGATATATCTGTCAATATCTGTATATTGGCTGTCAATTATTCAGTCTGTTTTGCCAAATAACCATGGATGAATATAGGTATCATACAATAACACGTACAAATGATAAAATTGTTTTACTAAAATGGATGTGCTGTTTATTTGGATGATCCAACAATATCTACCGAAATCATCACTGCTGTCCACTTGGGCTTGTACCCATACAAAACTGCGACAACGACGTGTGTTCGCTGCAATAATCTTTAGCGATTAGACCCATTTTTGGATGACTGGGTATGTTAACAAACACAATTGTTAAATTTGAGACGAGACCCAAGAGCGTCCAATGCATCACGAAAAAGTCACTGTTTAGTGTTGATTTTGGGATAGCGGCATCATCGGTCCATTTTTCGTTGAGAATGATATTGGCCAGGCTACCACAGTCAAAGGCGAGCGCTATAGCTTGATAATTACTGACGTCTTTTGATAACAACGTCATATCATACAAAACTCATGCCGGTATTATTCAAGGAAACCGGGGACGGTAAATACAAGTTAAATCTTGAAATATTTGTTATGTATGGCTTCCTACTCACTTTATAATGCTCTAAAAATTGCGGATTCTGTATTTTAATGCATATTTTTTCTATAACTCTCGTTTAAAAATTGCGTGTTTTGACATCAATTTTCAAATAATTCGTCCATTTTGATTGTACTGTTGTTAATGTCATGTCACTTTTACACCACTGTTGCCATATTTTCAAAAAATATTGTTTCTTGCAAAATTTTGTAAAAATATAAATATGTACAAGAAAATTTTATTTTGTAAAAAAGAAAATATTTTGTTTTTCGTTGCGTTGAATTAGGTTTGATCAGGTCAGGTTTAATCAGGTTAGGTTTGATCAGGTCAGGTTTAATCAGGTTAGGTTTGACCGGGTTAGGTTTGATCAGCTTAGGTTAGGTTAGGCTGGGTTGAGTTAGGTTAGTTTAGGTTAGGTTGGGTTATGTTAGTTTAGGTTGGGTTGGGTTAGGATAGGTTTAGTTGGTTAGGTTAGGTTAGGCTGGGTTAGGTTAGGTTTAGTTGGTTAGGTTAGGTTAGGCAGGGTTAGGTTAGGTTATGTTAGTTTAGGTTGAGTTGGATTTGGTTAGGTTGGGTTAGGTTAGGTTGGGTTAGGTTAGGTTAGGTTAGGTTAGGTTGGGTTAGTTTAGGTTAGGTTAGGTTGGGTTTGGTTAGGTTAGGTTAGGTTGGGTTATGTTAGTTTAGGTTGAGTTGGATTTGGTTAGGTTAGGGTAGGTTAGGTTAGGTTAGGTTGGGTTAGTTTAGGTTAGGTTGGGTTTGGTTAGGTTAGGTTAGGTTGGGTTATGTTAGTTTAGGTTGGGTTGGGTTTGGTTTTGTTGGGTTAGGTTAGGTTGGGTTTGGTTAGGTTGGGTTAGGTTAGGTTAGATTAGGTTGGGTAAGTTTAGGTTAGGTTGGGTTAGGTTAGGTTAGGTTGGGTTATATTAGTTATATATTCTTATTTCAAATTCTTAAGTATATATTCTTATATATTCTTATTACAAATTCTTATATATTCTTATTGGAAATTCTTATATATTCTTATTTCAAATTCATAATATATTGTTATTTCAAATTTTTACAATTTATTATAATATACCCCATACAAAGCAATTATAAACGTGGCAACATTGCGAATGTATGTCAAATTATA